TAACCCTAACCCTAACCCTAACCCTAACCCTAACCCTAACCCTAACCCTAACCCTAACCCTAACCCTAACCCTAACCCTAACCCTAACCCTAACCCTAACCCTAACCCTAACCCTAACCCTAACCCTAACCCTAACCCTAACCCTAACCCTAACCCTAACCCTAAACTATATTACTCCCGTATTAACTAGGCCTACTCCCGCCGCGCCCGTACTACGTACTATATCCTAGTATATACTATATATAAACGGAAAGCGTAGAAGATCCGGCCTATCGACGTCGCCGTAGATATCTCGAAGAGTACGTCCTCTAATATCGGTACCGTTACTAAATAGAAGGAACTATTTCTTTAATAGGAGACGGTAATACCGCTAGGGACGGGACTATATAACTAGCGCTACTTAATTAAGAAGTTCTCGGATGTCCCCTAGGGTAGTCGACTTACTCCGGAGGTATTGCGTACGGTCGAGACGGGTATAGTCTTAATAACCTAGGAACGTTATCTACTCGAAGAGATACTCTTTAATCGTAAGGCTACTTTAGCGGCGAATTTTATATATCTCGGATAGGTTATTCCTAGTATCGTACTACTACAAGTTATTCGTATAGTCCTATATATACTATAGAGTTATCCGGGTTTTCGTCTTAATCCTTCTCTACTTACGGCGATAGAGGGTATTATCCGGGACCGGTATAAAGCTAGGACGTTAGAGTATAGTAAGGGCTACTATCGGAATCTATATTTCCTAGTTATAAAGAAAACCTTAGCCTCTAGTTAGTTGCCTACTAAGGAATACTATCGCCTTATTAACTCTATAACAGAGATTAACTAGGTTACTATTCGCGACGCTAGCCTACTGCCTAATATAGATAAGTTCGCCGAGCACTTTGCGGAGTACAAGGTTGCTTCCCTCCTTAACATTTTCTCTAGGTACGATTAGGTCCCTCTCGCTAAAAAGAGTCGAGATCTTATAGCTTTCTAGACTTATCTTAGCCTATTCCGGTAGACTACTCTGCTCTAGGGCGCTACGAATTCGGTTAGTCAATTTATCCGGGTTATAACTCGTATTCTTATAGATTATATCTTATACCGGTCGCTCCCCTTTCTAGACGATATTAGTATTAAGAGGCCGAAGACTAATTATAGTAGGGAGGAACTTAAGCCTAGTCTATAGCGGTTTATTGTCGAGTATATCGTTGACCTCGACTAAGTCCTTACGGATATTAAGCGTACCGGTATAATAGTCGCTATTAAGAAGCTACAGATCCTCTAAGAATATATCTATATTATAGAGTATATTACGGATACCGATAGCCGCTATCCTAATATAGCCTATATAGCGAAGATCGTCGACTAGCTAGACCCGAGATACTAGAAAGACGTCTAGGTGTTTATCGGCATTGTCGTCTACTTCCGTATCTAGATACCTAAGTTTGCGCTTAAGGCTAAGCTACTCTACCGCCTACTTCGGAAGGACGTTGAATTCGAGTAGACTATAGAGTATTAGCGTACTAAGGACGTACTTACGGTAGCCTTAGTTAAGGCCCTACCTCTAGTCTCTATTAACTACTTAGATAGAGTAGATACTATTATTATCGTAGTTAACTCTAGTAGGTCCGGGTATAGGTATATACTAATATAGAAGGACGACTATAGAAAGCGATAACCGAGTCGTTTCGAGAGTAGTATATAGTCCGCTAGCTAGTAACGGTACGACGCCGGCAAACTCGAGTACTTCGGGGTACTTAAGATATACTAAAAGTTTCGGCCCTAGCTCTTCGGTTAATACTTCGTACTAGAAGTTAATACTTAGACTCTCGTATATTAACTAAACCGCGCTACGTCTAATCTCCCGAATGCTACTATAAGTAGGTAGATAGTATAGATCCGGCTGTTTACCTTCGAAGTTCGGTATGTCTCTAGTTATAAGTATATAGCCCTAGATGCCTTATCCCGTCGACTACTATTAAGTAAGGACGTCCCGGATCCGCCGGAGTTAGAAGATATCGAGCGTATAGTCGATAATAAGTTTTTCGAGAGTTTCTACGTTAATACGGCGACGCTTGCGCTACGTAGATTTAGTTAGGCCTCTAGGGCCTTACTAGGAGCGGCCGGTACCGCCGGCGGTACGGTTCGGGCAGCTACGATCCGGATTGTTAGCTAGATCCCCGAAACCTTACTAGATATAGGAGGCGTCGACCTTGCCTATATTGATTCTATCTTCCCGGATAAGTTAGATAGTCTACCTAAGAGTTATTCGTACTTTTCGAAGGCTATCGCCTACGTCCTCCTTAGACTATATCCCTTATCTTATATATCTCGATCCGAGTACTATCGATTTTTAAAGTACTTATAGAGATTTAAGATCAAAGATAAGGTTCTCTTCCGCTAGGGCTATCGCAACTTCCCGTTACAGCGCGTTATCGATAAGCTATCTATATAAGACTAGATCCTCTAGATAGTCTACGATAAGTATAGGCACCGTAGTACCGAGGGTACGTATACAAAATTGGTATAGCGCTACTAGTAGGACGGTATATATAGCGATTGCTAGGTATATATATAGAGGAAGTACGCCGAGTATAATTAGTATAACGGCGTTCGTACCTATACTCCTTTAGGCGAAGTTGCTTCTAAGGCTATCGGTAAACGGTAGTATATTAACGGCGTTTATATTAATACCTACGGATCGATTATAATAGCGCGGGAGGCAACGTCTCGGTAGCCTAAGGCACGGGTATTCGTCGGCCTTACTACTAAACAGATTATATCGAAGTAGGTCGCGAAATTTATCTAGAAGGAGATCTTTTGCCGATAGGGTACGCCGTACGAGATCCTCCTTAACAACGCTAAATACAACTTAGAGGAGGTAGAGGCGTTGCTTCGTAAGTACGGCGTCGCTCGTCTATATATCTTACTATACTACCCGGAATCTATAGCTATCGTTAAAGTTAGGCACAAACCTGTTATTATAGCGCTTAGTAAGATAACCGACGGAAGCAAGATATCCTAGATCCCGTACGTACCTATAGTACTATAGGCGGAACGTACTACGGAGGTATCGTCTACTAGTAAGACGCTATTAGCGTTAATAATTAGCCGCGATACTATCCTACCTATCGAGCTTTAGTTCCCTACTACGTCTATCTAGGACTAGAGTACTATTCGCGACTACGAGAGTCTTCTCGCCGTACGCGCCGCTGCCTTCGAAGCTATAGCCCTACGTATAGAGGACGCCCGCCTACGACAAGAGAGAATACGGAACTAAGCGAAGGTATATTTTAACGATCGCTACTATATCGATCGCCGTAAATTTAAGGTTAGTAATTTGGTTATAGTATATCGGAAAGAGTTAGAAGCGTCGCGTTCGGCAAAGCTAGTTTTCCGTTAGAAGGGTCCCTTTCGTATATATACCTATCGTCCGGGTACTATATACTATAAGTTAGAGAGGTTAGATAGTATTATCTATCGGAATACCTATAATAAGGACTCTCTTAAACTCTATCGACTTAACGGCCTATTAGATAAAGGCGGCAGTATTACTAGTTCTAACGAGTAGGGTTAGTACTAGATACTAGTTCCCTACTCTGCTTTTTCAACTTTCTATACGCCGACCGGGTATCTCCGCTTCCTAGTATCTCTCTCTATAGTACGGGCTCGTACTGCTTAATAGATACCTACTCTCCTTCTTCGTCGTCGTATAGTTAGAGGAGGGAGTAGCGTACTCGCTATTCTTTCGATTCTTTTTCTATTTGTTGCGCTACCGCCGCCGTCTAGTCTTTTATCTATAGCTAGGCCCCCCGCCGCCGCCGCTGTCTAATCCTTTATCTATAACTAGGCCCTCTATAGGCGTCGTTTTGGATACGCCCTACGCTTTTAATAGCGGCGGGTTAGTACTGTCCGAGTTTGGCTATCCTAGAATTATAACTATATTACCGGCCGGACGCCCCGGTATCTAGTAATAGTTAGGCTAGAAGGTTTCTAATCCGTCCGAAGGTTTTTGATCTATTATTAGTTTGTTCCTTTTCCTACGCGGTAGAAAGGACGCTCTATATATTACTATATACCTCTACTCTTATATTTCTAATTCTTCTATCCTTCTAAAGGGTAGTAATCTATAGGCCTCGTTATAGGTTAGGTTAGGTATAGGTTAGGTACAACCTAACGTTAATACCTAACCCCGCAAATAAGGTAGGTACCTAGCTTATAAGCTAGGTACAACCTAACGGAAAAAACCTAATAGGTATACCTAATAGGTATTATAATAGGTATTACGTAAAACCTCTTCTAGATATAGAATAAATATAGTAAGCGCTTCTTAAACAGTAATAAGCCTCGTATATACCGTACTGCCTAAACTCGCTAACAATAGCTACCGACTATGCCTACCGACTACGAGAATTAGGAAAAAGCAAATTAATTCAGATTAGAAGATTATAGTAAGTACTTCGACATCTCCTTCTATAGCTAACAATACCTACCGACTATACCTGCCGACTACGAAAATTAGAAAAACTAAATTACTTCAGATCTTAGGCTTATAGTAAATACTTTAATATCTCCTTCTCTAGCCTAGCTAGAACGCGTATCTAGTATTTAAACCGACTTTCTGTTACTATATACTGCTGCCTTACTCTCTAGGCCTTACGTATCTCTATTCTTCGCTAGGCCGCTTAGAAAGCCGGCTCCGTCCTTATTAATAATAGGGTCCTTAAACAAGTAGCTCTAAGGATAAAGCGAGCTGAAATTTCTATATCTAGTCTGTCTCGTTCGGTAATAGGCTCTTCTATAAGTATACTTAGTATCTTATCGATACTTCCCCTAGCTACGAATTCTTATATACTCCGATTATTCGCTTGATCTATAGCTACCGTATACGCTGCCCTTACTATATCCTCTAATTCTGTTATCTCCTCGTCAAACTCCTACTACGACTCCTCTTCTTTATCCTCTCTCTCTATATCTAGTCGACTATCCTAGAGAGAATTAGGACCCGTCTCCTCTAAATCTAGATAATCGAAAGGATTATAGTCTTAGCTAAGCGAGATATCTTAATCCTAGGTACCTATATCCTCGTCGCTATACTAAAAATCTGCTTGACTAAGCGGTATACCTAGTTACCTAAAAGGAAAATCTGAATTCTCGGAAGCTATCTCCTCGTCTTCTTCTTCTTAAGTATTAATATAATCGAGGAGAGCCTAGAGATATTTATCCTCTATCGTTAGGGGTACTGTATTATCGTCCTAAGCATTCTCCTTATTAGCTAGAGGATAACTAGTTTGAACGCTAGGATTAGTATCTAGATCGTATTCCGAGCTCTTATTACCGCTCGAAATTACGATAGTTGCCTACTTCTTACCGTCTAAATTGTTCAAACCCCTATTATCCTAATCGGCGCTAGGAGGATCTTAATCGTTCCTATCTGTCTAGCTACTAGTATCTATATTATCCTAATCGGTACTAGGAGGATCTTGATTATTACCGTCTATCTAGCTACCGGTGTCGCTATTATCCTAATCGGTACTAGGAGGATCTTGATTGTTCCTATCTATCTAGCTACCGGTATCGCTATTATCCTAATCGGTACTAGGAGGATCTTGATTATTAGCGTCTATCTAGCTACTAGTACCGGTTTAAGTACCCGTTTAAGCGCTAGGGTTATCGGGATTATCTAAGCTCTCGTCTTTGCTTAAGGACGTAGGAGTCTTCTTTCTCTTCTTCGTAGTCGGCTTCTTTAGAGTTAGCTTCGATTTCGTCTTCTTCGTCTTTAATCGAGGCTTATATATCGTACTCGGGTTAACTAGGCTAGAGCTATAGAGAGCAACTACGTAATTATCTAGCTAGATATTCTACTCCTTTAACAGCCTACGAAGATATTCGAGATCTTTCGCTATTACTATTACTCGCTTATAGTAGATAGCGAGAAGATTAGCTAAGGAAAAGACTTTAGTTACTATACTCTTGTACTATTCCTAGAGGATACCGAGTATGCTCGCTTAGATCCGTATAGGGAGGTAGTCTTCGGTAAAAAGGATAATAGTATCCCTAACGATACGTACGAACGCGAGCTTTAGGATATAGGGTATAACCTCCTTCTAGCATTTTTCGATCTCCTACAAAGCTCCCTCTAAAAGAAATATTAGTATATGCCGACTATATATACCGACTACGTCTGCTAACTAGGTATACTTACTACCTCTCTTTTTTCGATTTTTCTTTATACCTACGGATAGAAGCCCTTTCCTACCCGTTACGCTAGGGAGTCTCTTTCTAGATGTTTGTAGTACCTTTCTAGCGATTGTAAGCTTACGGCGCGCTACGAGTAACGGCGCTATAACGATAGTAGTAGCAGGCGGTATAGTAGGTAAAGTAGTAGGCGGAGTAGTAGGCAGAGTAGTAGGCAGAGTAGTAGGTAGAGTAGTAGGTAGAGTAGTAGGCAGAGTAGTAGGCGGAGGCTAGAAGGGGTTATAGCGGGTAGGGGGCGGGGCGGGAGGGGGGGGGGATCAACAACTAATATTAATATCGTAAGTTAGGTTTTTTTAGAAGTAGGGAATACCTTTGAAGGCGGCGGAATTTAGGGTCTAGGGGCGCGACTAATTAGAAGCTAGGGATTCTTTGTCTACGTAGGGTAGGTACCTGCCGTTTTTGGACAATAGAAGTAAGAAATAGTAAAGTGAGATCGCCGGAAATAGGAAATATTAATATAACGACCGTATAAGTAGTGCCTAGCCCGTAAACAAGAGACCTAGAGATTTATATAGATATAATTAGTATAGAAGACAATATCTTATAGAAGCTCGTTTTCGGGTTATCTTATATATTAGATACTAATTCTTTAAGTACTAGCCTCGAAAACGATATTAGGAGTATATAGTCGGCAGACGTAGTCGGCGCATTACTATAAGATCAAAGCTCGGCACTTGAATTCGCTTCTCCTATAAAGCGCTTCCGAATCTAGCGACAAAGTTTTATATCCTTCTATTATAAGGTTACCCGTTTTGCGTAAATCGCTAGTATATTAGAGACTTCGAACTCCTATATAAGAAAAGCTTCCGTTGCTTCCTATAAGCAAAGTAGAGCCTTAGCTTGAAAACGGTATATACTATTGCTAGTATTGCTTGCTAAATCTATTGTAATCTCTCGACAAATCCTTAAGAATAGAAGTCGGTATATTAAAAGCTCTATAGACTTCTAGTATTTCCTAATTTCTTAGAGAGCGGCTATACTAGCCTTCGTTCGTCTTCTCGCTTTAGGCGCCTTTCGAACAATAGGCTTTTTCTATAGTCGTTAACTTCCTAGTAGTCTCTTATTACTAGGATAGGTCTTCTATACTACTTTTTTCGTATGTCCTAGTCTCCTTACGGCGAGACTTAGTCGAGGGGAAGCTGTATTAGAGAGCTATCGGTCTAATCTATTATAGATAATATATAGCCCCTTTAGTTGAACCGATACTACCCCGTCTCGACTACGCTGCTTAGTCGGTAGGTCTAAATCTTCGTTCGTTTTATTATTATTAACTTAACCTATACCTCTATCTACCTACCTCTCCTCCGTCTGCCTCTCTTCTATCTACCTCTCCTCCGTCTACCTCTCCTCCGTCTGCCTCTCCTCCGTCTACCTCTCCTCCGTCGGCTTAACCGTCTAATCTAACTACTGTCGAGTCCTCTTATTACTTCCGCTATCGTAGGCAGCCTTCGGGAGTACTTTAGCCTTCGTTTCTCTTTAACGCGGACTATCTCTTCTTTCCTAGTCGTCGTCGTCGTTAGGAAGAGAGGAAGAGACGTAGGAAGAGAGAGATTGTATATCTATATTAGGCATTTTAAGAGTTTCGACTTAGTAGGAATATATAGGATAAGAAAAAAGCAAGAGAGGATAAGTTAGTAGGTATAAGGAAGACCCGGAAATCGCTAAGCCGCTTATCTCTCGAGTATATCGGATTGCGTAGGAAGGTAATTAGTAATTAGGATAGGGGTTCTATATATATCTATACTAGTATATTTCATATTATATTATATAGTTTATACACCGACTACGTCTGCCGAATACGTTCTGCTCTAGCTACGAGATTTTACTTTTTTACTAGAAAGTACTACGATACCTTAAGAAGTTAGTAGTCTAACTATTTCTCTAGATAATATAGTATTTATATATAATACCCTATAGCAGTTGTCCTAGTAATAGCGAATAAAGCGACAATAACTTATATTCGAAATAAAATTTAGGTAGAGGGGAGGGCACTTAGGAAATCGACGATAATAGTAGTAGTAGAGGAGCTTAGTATAGGCGCGGAAGTGTAATGTTGTTATAGAGGGTAGTGTCGGTGCTTAGGGTTACGGGATAGGGTTCCGGCTGCTGCCTAAACCTTAAATCTCTTAGATAAGAGAAATTTTATTTCTTAAAGCGCTTCTACTCTATATATCTACCTCCGTATATACTACTGTATGTACTACTGTACCTACCTCTGTACCTATATCCCTATCTACGTCCGTACCTACCTCCGTACCGATACTACTATACTAAAACGGAAGAATATTACGCTAGAGGCGCTAGAAAATAAGCGTACTAGGCTCGGGGTAGCTACGAAGTTACTTAAAGAATACTCTCTAAAGCCGAATACCCTATAGGACCGCGAGCGTACTACCGCTATAGACGAAGAGAAGAAAGCTTAGAATCGATATAGAAAGGCTCGCAATAAATCGTTTATACGGTTTAAGAAGGCTTAGATTAAGCAGTCTAGCGAGTTTAGCGAGCTAAGTAGAGACCGTTAAGCTGCTCTAGTTAAGGAATAGAGATCGATATATATAGCAGAATATAACCGGAAAGCGTAAGTTTCGTAGTCGGCGTCTATAGTCGGTATCTACGGTCGGTATTCCTACTTCCTATTAAAGGCTAACTTCTCTAGTACTAGGAAGCAAGCAGAGACTAATCTAGCTCTCTTATCCGACGAATAGGCCGAAATCGATAAAGCTAACTAGTTCCTTAAGCTTAGAGATAGTAAAAGCAAATTAAAGATAATATTTCAAAAGGAGGATTAGGTTAAGTAGAAATAGGATACCCTTACTCTTAGTAAACGATACGATAAAGCACTTAGGGGCCTTAGTAACGAATGCCTTCCTTAAGAAACGATTCTTAATCCTTTATTATTAAAAGAGATTAATAAGGAGATAGCGAACTCTATTAGAACTTTTGCCTTTTAGGCAGCCTCTTCTACTTTTGCGACTGCTTATAACTAATAGTATCGCTCGATCCGGAAGTTCTAGAACAAACTTGTTACTCTAGAGAGTCTAGTTCTCCCTAACGAGGTAGCTATAAAGCAGATTTTACAAATTGTCGATAGCGAGACTAAAAAGGTAAGCTTATCTGCCGACTATACCTACCGACTATTTTCTAATAATCCTAGATCTACGTTAGAGAAGTACGACTCCTACTACTATACGAGATTTTTAGCCTAATCGAGCGTGTAGTCTACTATAGTATCCTTGCCTAGGATATCGCAGCCTAAAGGGCTTATTTAAGTAGTCTTCCTAGACCCTCCTAGCTAATACTAGAAAATTATAACTACTCTGCTAATAGTTTCCTTCTATTAGTAAGCTTAAAAGGGGAGAAGCACCTCGCGAAGATAGTATATAAGCTCTATAAGAGGGAGAATCCTCTAAGCCGCGAACAGACTCTCTAGCCTAAGATAATAGCTACCCTTATCGAGTACAATATTAAAGAGTATAATAGGATTACTCTAGAGGCCTTTCTACTCCTACTACTACGAGAAGATAAACTATACCTAGTATCTTCGGGAATCGAGAAGGTACTTATAAAGGACTCTATATTCGTAACTTTGTTAGAGGGTTCGAGATTTTAGACTCGGAGGACTAGGAGCCTCGCCTATTTCAAGAAGACGAAGAGGGATAGAAGAAAGGGTAGGAGGGTTAGTAGTAAGAATTAGACTATCTAATAGGTTAGCTCGCAGCCGGAAGTAGGCCTACGAATTCTATTCGCTTAACCCCTATAGGGTAGCGTACTAGGATTCTGAAATTCCTACTTTCCCTCCTTTTAATTCCTACGTTCCCTCTCCTCTATCCTCTTATAACGGATTTACGACGTCGGAGTCTAAAATACTATGTTTTCGTCTTCCTTTGCTTCCTCTCTAGGAGTCGGAAGCTCCCGATTCGAATCCTCGTTATAGCTAGAAAGCTCTTCTACTACCTCTATACGATCGAGCGCTCGCTTACGCTAACGATATAGTTCCGCGACGAACCTCCTACCGAGCCTAATACTAGGGGACCGCCGACGTAGAACAGAGGTTCGTAAGCGTTATATAAGACAGCCGACTATAGTAGAAGAAGATCTAGATTCCTCTCTTGTACTCCCTATTAAGCTAGACTATATCGGGGAGTAGGATATTAAGGCTAACTACTAGCTATAGAGGTTTAAGTATAAGGAGAACTTTAAGAAGTAGTATAAGGTACGCTAGTAGAACTATACTAGGAAGCGGCTTAAAAAGCGGAACGGTCGTACTATATTTGATCGGTCCCTAATTACCTAGAGGAGTAAGTCTCGGATATCTTAGGTATAGGATTTCCTAGAGGAGGGAATACTTTAAGAAGATACGATACCTAAAGTCGTATATAGGTACTATAACGCTATACTAAAACATCCTATACTAAATACCGGTATAACGTCTATTAAGAAGTATCTAGACTCCTCGAACTACTAGAAGAAACAAGATAAGCGAGGGTTTATAAAGGAGATGTTTACAACTATAAAGTATCGATAAGTAAGTACTAACTACCGACGACTAGACCTACCGACTATACCTACCGACTATGCCTGCCGACTATATCTACTGACTATGTCTAAGTAACTATACTAAAACTTTATCTCTAGACTATAAGCAATCCGCGATAGACAAGGGACCTAGGCTATATACTAGACGATTTCCCGTACTTATCCTTCGAGATAATTATCGACAATAGTCTGCTATTCTAGTTCTTTAAACGACCGTTAGTAAAACAGACTTATATAGCTCTACTTCCGGAATAGGTCGAGACAATTTAGTTCAAATCCGCTTCGATATACCGTAGGATACTCGGTACTAAGGTTTAAGAGTCTACTAAATCCCTTAAGACCTATCTTACTAGTAGATTCAAGATAGCTATCGCGTATAATAGCTAGCAATCCAGAGGTATAAAAACCTTATTCCTTACTATCCGGGTCTACTAGATTAACGACTACTAGGTCTAGTACAAAGGGATGCTTAGCTTTCTATATATTACTAGCCGTTATACTAGTAATTACCTTACGGAGATACTATTCGAAATCTTATAAGAGTTCGAGATTAAGTACCGATTGACTATAATTACGTACGACAATACCTCGAACAATAAGACCCTATATAATATAATATAAGACTACTTGCTTTACTCTTCCTACTTCCTTCTAATATTCTATAGTATTTTAGCGATTAATACTTGTTAAGAGAGGTACGGTATAACGGCTAGGAGGCTAGTAACGAGCTTAGAGGAAGGTACGGAGAGTAGTCCCGACTCGGAGATAGGAGAGGATAAGGAGAAGGCAATCGCGGAGTATAATCGAGCTAGCCGTCCCGAGCGATTTCCCTACTTTATATATACTACCTAGCTTCCCTTAAAGGCCTTTTTTAACCGCCTAGGGCTCTATCCGACTAACGACCTTTCTAAATACTAGGATTACGAGAAAGATCGGCAGATATTATAGAGAAGGAGAAAACAGAGTAAGTAGATTAGCTATCCTTAAGCTAATAGTATACCTTACCTCCTTCTAAAGGTAAGATTAGTCTCTACGGCCTATTACCTATTAACCTTCCTATTTTCAAAGTATAGTCGGCTCTCGTAGTCGGCAATTATAGTCGGCACTCGAGATTCCCTTCGCTAATTTTAATCCCTAGATCCGGAAACTTTGCGTCTTTATTAACTCGAGCTCTTAAAGGTTCGAGCAGTTTATCGACCTATAGAAAGAGATACTTTAAAAGAAGGAGCTATTTACAAAGTACCGTCGGTAGAATAGTATTCAAGATCGGATCCTAAGGGTCGTTTAAGACGTAAAGACAAGGTAGTCCTTAATAACGTTAATACTCGATCGCTTTAGCAGACTACAAAGAGTTATCGAATCTTATATCGATCGACTCGACCTAAGTAAAAATATAGGTATCGATTCCGAAGAGTAGCAAAGGGTTAAGTACCTTATCGACCTTACGAAACTATTCGTAGTAGCGATAGTAACGATTAGAATAACGAAAGGTCCGACTATCTACCTTATCCTTGTATACTATAACTAGTATTACTATAAAGCCCTCTCTCCTACTACCGTCCTCGAGTAGACGATCGGATAGGCCCGGCTTACGGTAGGTCGCGGCGTAGCTCTATAGTAAAAGGGGTAAGATAGGTAGAGGTCCGGAAGGACGCGGAGATGCCCGTAGGTAGCGGGAATAGTAATATTAGAAGACAAAGCGTACTATAGGGTAACGACATCAATTATAGTAGAGTAGGTATCCGTACATCTACGTCCTAATTATATCCGTCCTCTCCTCCGTCCTAAAAAGAAGAAAACTACCCTATATAGCTACCCGCCGGGAGTAGTACGGCCCTCCTAGGCCGTCCGGCTCTCGGCTCTACCCCGACGCCCTATATAAAAGAAACACGCCTAGCCGCTTAATATACCCTCCCCTACCTATATGTCTGTCCTATAGATATAGGTATAACAAAACCCCCCCCTATCTAACGATTATATATAGAAAAGCAGACCTAAACGACCCGTCGAAAACAAGGCACCTAACCGTAAAAACCTAAACCCTCCCTATATTCGGAAGCTCCTAGTTAGGCCCCGGAGGCCTAACTAACGTACTACCTATTCTATCTAGGATACATCGCTCTTAAGTATAGTACCGGAGCCTTCCTCTATATACTTAGAGTCGAGAGTAGAAAAATCAGGCTACGGTCGAAACTCAAAGTTACCTTTATAGCGGAAGTAACTAGCGTTTCCGAAGAGTAGTATTTCAGAGCTACGAATACAGTCGAAAACCTTCTTATACCTCTTAATAGCGTTCGCCTGCTATTTGAGCTTATATGCCTCCTACTAAGCAAGAGACTCTATATAAGCAATATAGTTCAACTCGTTAATAACTTCTATATCGGCCTAAGATTTGCGACCAACTAGAGCGTCTAAGATTAGGCTAAGGCTATCTAACTAGGCTACGGTAGGAAATCGGTACGGAATTGGACTATATATATTAGGGTAGCCCGACGGGCTAGATAGTAGGGCAGTTATTGTTCGGTATGCCTCCGCGATCTACTAAAGGGTCCCTATTTTTAGGTTCTCTATCTCTCCGGTTTCTACGTTAGTAATAGCTACAAACTAAAGGAGGATCGTACGTCGTACGCCCTACGAAGGTAGCGCGCTATAAGGAATACGGGAGTCGGTAATACGGACGCTATATCGCTAGACCGGAGTTAGCTACTAATCTAGACCTATCTTCTTTCTTAGCTTAGGCCCGAGCTCCTTGTCCGTAATATTATAGATCTAGCTATTCTACAAACGACTAGCGGCGCGGTTTACCTCTGCCTACTTACGAAACGTCTCGTTACGGTACATCCCCTAAACAAGTATAGTATAGTCCTTATAAGTCTCGTTATCGAACGATACCGAGCCTTAGATCTAACTAGTACCTTTGCCTACCGCAAGATCTATAACGTTGTAGTCTATATGCTTAAAGCTATTACGACTTATATTCTCGTTACCCTTGTCGTCGCTATACTAGTACTTCGCGTAATAAGGATAAGATACTAAACGGTAATTACCGTCTACGCGTAAAGAAGCGTACAAAGCCTAGTATAAGATATCCTAGCGGACGAGCTATTGAACTACGCTATATATCTACGACCTGTTCTACCCTAGATTAGAGCGACTATTTATACGACGGAGGTACTACGAGTATATATCAAACTTATATTCGATATCCCCGAAGATCGTCTCGGTATACCTAAAAACCCCCTCCTTCGTAACTAAGCCGATAAGATCGAACGTAGCCTAATCGCCGGCGTTGATTATAAATAATCGAAGCTTAGTAACTAAGGTTTCTACGTTAGGCGTAGCGGAGGGAGTAACTAGCATTCCTATATATATTCGAGATAGGAATACATATAGACTAAGTACGTTACCTACGTGCTTTAGACAGTAGGCTAGAGAGAAGAATTCCGGGTATTAATACTAGTATTCTAGAAACTAGCTATTAACGTAAGCTCTATAGACTTCGGCAATACGAGTAGTTAGTAGGGCTATAGCGATATTCGACTTAAGTCCGAACCTACGGCTCGCAAACACCCTAGTATAGTACCGGTATAACGGAACCGGGTCCTCCTCTACTATATATAGCTAGACGCCTTAGTCGACGACATCCTCTAGCTATTAATAGAGGGGTATAGCTATATATAGGCTAATAAGATATAGATTAGTCGTATCTAGGCAAAGAGTATAACGGTATATAGACAACGGCGTATATATACGAGACGTAACTTGTCCCCCCTTAGCGAGTACGTCCTCGGTTAGCTCTTCGTTAAAGGTAAACTCCCCGGTCTAGTTATCTACCTCCTTGCTAGTCGTATCCTCGGTCGGCTCTATCTCTATAGTCGGGATCGTAGCCTCCGGGACCGGCTCTATACAGCCCGTCCCGGTAAGGCCCCGAGGGCCTAACGGATTACGTATATTAATAGGGCTCTAACTAGAAGTACTATCTAGTACCTATAGTATCTCCGGCGTTAATAGTCGTAACGTACGTTAGCGTTTGCTCGGAGGTTCTTTATAGTCCGGTAATAGGTCCGGCTCCCTATAGTATCCCTAGTATAGACAGAGTTAGGCTTGCTCGGACAATAGTAGTAGAGGTAGTAGTATAGATAGCCCCGAAGGTATTAGCGTAGGTTTAATAAAGCCCTTACTTACGATCTTGTAAAAGTCGCCCTCGTAGACGAACCCAAATCGTATCCGTAGGATATATTGTTCTGCCTCCCCTCTAGGTTCCGCTAATTGCTTGTCGGTAGGCAGTATACGTATACGAATACAATCGCCTCCTATAACCTCCGGTATCTTCGATCGACTAGTAACGGGAGTAAGCAATCGCTATACTACTACTTCCGCGAGAGCGCGTAGTATTTGCCTATAGTTAGAACTAAGAGCCGCTAGGCTGCCTAGATCGTAGGCCTACGAATAAGTATATAGAACCTCCTATATCGTTAGACTAGTAAGGAAGCTCTAGGCGGCAGCGATATCCCTACCGAACTATCGGTTAATAACATTCTAGCAAGCCGTCCTTCGTCGATTTCGGGCCTCCTTTCCTCGATCTACTATCTTCGCAAAACCGGGGAATACGTCTACGATTAGTTTACCTTCTAGGATCTCCTAGTCCGGAGCTATAGCTACGAACTTCTTATAAATCGATATATATATATAGTATCGTAACTAGTTAAGGTCGCGTCGTAGAGTTAGTATACTATACGTACTACTTCCGTTCTTACTAGCGTATCGAGAGTTAGCAACAGAGCTACGACCGCGTCTAGGTCGGTTACCCTACGAAGGATACTCCTTACCTCCGCCGAGTATAATAACGTATCTATCCTTACTACTATAATTAAGAACGATATCGAGCTTTGTCTCCTCTCCCGAACGGTTACCTAGTATTCTAACCTATCGCTATCGTCTGTCTCGGGTTAGGTAGGTATATTACGGTTAGCTATAGTAGGACCGATAGTTACGCGTAGGGGCGTAGTACTACTACTAATATAGGCGTAGGTCGTAGTATAGACGCGGAATCGATAGTTGCGCGCGAGCGCGACTCCGTTGTTAACGTAGGCGTAGGTCGTAGTATAGGCGCGGCTCCTTTCGAGGTAGTAGAGATAGTAGTTATATAGAATATAGGCCGGAGGGTACGGCGGGTAAGGAGGTAGGTTAAAGAAGAAGAGTAAGTTCAAAAGGAAGAAAAGGGTACTCTTATCCTCCAAATAACGCGAAAGTAACTCGCGCTCGCGGAATAACGCGAAAAGTAACTCGCGCTTGCGGGAGTACCGGCGCGCTTACGGCAGTACTATAGCAAACAAATAACGCGAAAAGTAACGCGCCCGGGGAAGTACTACCTATATAGGCGAGATAAGTAAGGATAGTACGAGAATACCGACGTAAAGTAGTAGTTAGGCATCGTAGGGACCCTTAGATATAAGGACCGTAGTAAGGAATATAGTATACGGTATATACTACAAGGAGGCGAGGACAACGCTAGGAGGTAAAGCGAAAAATTCTTGTCCTTTAGAAAGGAGGGAGCGGCGTTGTATAATATACCTCTACGCTAAGCATATATAGGCGCTACGCCGCGCGGGCGGTCGCCCGATAGCCGATCGCCCGATAACTCGGATCGTACTACTTCCGCAGTCCGTCCTATCTTAGGCCGGCGTACCTTAGGCTTAAATACCTAACCGCCCTTTAGGGCTATATGCCTCTAGGCCTAGCTGTTATATATATAGGTCGGCTACGTAGGCGTCTAGCTAGATAGAGGTATCCTTAAAAGGAGTAGTCCCTTAATTCCTATCTACCTAGGGCTCCGGTTCTATAGAATACTATCTCCTTAGAAGATTAGGCATCTTCGTCTACTTCGCCGATAACGTAGCCTATCTACGCTATAGCTATAGTACGGTCGTATTGCTATTATAGAGCTATAGGACCTCTATAGATTACTATCCTTTAGAAGGGAAGAAGAACTAGAAATATAAGAGAGTATAACACGCTAGGGGCAGAGAAGCCCTAGCGAACCCCCGGCGAGGCGGGTAGGGCGTACCGTACAGGCTAGGAAGCCCTCGCAGACCTCCGGCGATCTAGTATAGAAGAGATGCTCTACCGATCGGAGACGTTCTGAATTAAGAGGGTTCCTAAAAGAACCGGTTATCGGCTACTACCTAAGAGGAGGCAGTGCCGGTAGCGAGGAGTAGACAATAGAATAGCTTGTATATATAGCGAGGGCCCTTCTCTAGGAAGGAAGGGTAGAGTTATTGTACTTTAGATAGCAAGCCGTATATTGTTTATACCTTTTATACCTTAGACCTCTGTTATATATACTCTTACGCTTATAGAACTATTATAGAGAGAGTATATAGTAATATATAGAGCATCCTTCCTACTATATAGGAAAAGGAACAAACTAGTTCTTATTCTTCGGAAAGGAGAGAGCGGTATCGTATAATATACCTCTATACTAAGTATATACTAATACTACGTTACGCGAACAGTCGCCTAATAGCCGATCGTCCGATAACTTAGATAGTACTACTACTATAGCCCGTCCTAGCTTAGGCTAATATACCTTAGGCTTAAATACCTAACCGCTCTCTAGGCTATATACCTATAGGCCTAGCTATTATACTAGAGTAGTAGATACAACGCGATAACGCGATAGTATTATAAGATATACGCGAGATTAGCTAATAAGAAGGCTAAGAGATAGTATTAATTATAGTAGGTAATATAGCTAAAGATAGCGGCAATTGCGTTTTTAGATTAGAACTAATTGTTTAAGAATTTAGTTTCTTATAATTAGCTAGAATATAATATATATCTATTAAACGAACCTATTACTCTAGTATATTATTACTATAGTCGTTCTAATATTCTGCTATATTAAGTTTGTACTTCTAGGTATTGTTGCTATCGTATAAATAATATATAAAGAAAAGTAATATTTTTGATTTAATATATTATATTAAAATTCTTTATAGTAGGATTATCTAAAGTACTAGTAGTTACGTTGCCTTAGGCAACCTAACTGCCTACTAGTTAGAAAAATACTATCTACTAGTTATAATAACCCTTTTGCTCGCTTAGTAATTATAGACATTACTAGCTTATATAGTAATAGTAGTAGTTACTAGTCTATATACTTTGTATATATAGTAAAGAGGTTACTAGCTTATATACTATATATACTTTGCTTATATATAGAGAAGTAATAGAAGATATAGTTTAATATAGTAAGTAGAAGCTAAAGTAAAAGAAGTATAGTTACTTAGCTTAGCGGATCTTTAATCTAATACTTGCTCTATATATATTTCAAGGATCTCTCTTCTATATACGCTGAATCTCTAGCGCGCTCTATAGCAAAACTTCGTACTAATTAGAGCGTACGCCTTCGATAGTTTTGCATCCCTCTATATAGTTAGATAGGCTCTCTACATGCCCTATACCCGGCCTCCGCTTCGCTCCGGAGGGGAGGGACATATGTCGAACCAATTAGGCATCGCCTGTACGATCCTGTCCAACTAAGAAAGCACCCAGACGCGTTGTATCCTCCCTACAACCCCTTCCTCGACGTCCGGAGAGCCTACAACAGCGCTTTACGATGCAGGAAAGTATCCGGACGCAATCCATTCCTCGACTTCTAGAGACAAGCCTTTGCTACGATGGGCCGCATTTCTTATCACCATTGCCCTCGGGACAGCACCATGCTCCTGTAATATTGTTGCCAGGGGAAGCCAATTCCCTACAGCCTTCTCCAAAAACGTCACGAATGGGTTTAGTCCAGCTGTCTGGATGCTCGCACTGTAGCTATGCGTTAGTCCATACCAACATAGTAGCGATGTGCGCGCGAAACCTACGAGTTTCTCTGTTTTTCCGGGAATGATATAGATCTTGAACCGATCATCCGGTGGAAGGTCGAAAGAAGGAACTCCTCCACTAAGCTGTTTACACATGAGGTCCGTAGCGGCACTCTCTTGGGTGTACAGCGAAGGATCGTCGGGATCTGTCAGCCAGCATGAACAATAGGCGTTGCCGTCGATGCCTGGTATCTGATGGTTCGGATCCGGATCGTTTCCTTGCTTTGAGTGCTTCTTGTCCGCAAAGACGTAGCAGCTATTCGCGGGTCAGCTGTGTGCCTCGTCGCATGATTCGTTTAGGTAGGGGCGACTTACTTGGAGACCAACGTGCCTACGAGAGCGAAGATGAGCGCTGGCGACCGCATTCTGTTCGTGAGATCGGGTTCGTGGTGGGCGTGAGAGGTTTCGGTGATGTAGGAGGTCGATTGATGGAAGCGGGCGGGTTCGTCTTGTATATTTCCAACAGAATGCAAAAACGCCAACAGCGGGTACCTGGACGGCTTGTTGGTTCCCCTTTCATGGACTACCCAGAGTTTACCCCGGTGAATCAGTCAGAGTCAGCGGATAGTTCTCAAGTCCATTGATGAGCTGCCAGGAACCCTTCCAAAAGTCTTCATAGATCGCTCGACTTGTTCGTTCTGCAAACGTGCAAGGTTTTGGCTCGCCGACGCGGTGCTCAGGCAGTATGTACCTGTTCAGGAGCAAGTTCTACTGCCTATCGGTCTATGTGAAGACAGTCGGAAGACTGGATGATGCAGACAGAGTTCCTTGTCGGGCATGGTTGGAAATTGGGGTAACACCCGGTCTGGCAGTCTGGCTACCCTGCAACACAATTTGAGTGAGTTCACTTTTTGACATGCTACGTGCATGGATCTCTGCGGCCCCATGAGAATTATGCATTCTCATCCAGAAGGACCAGAACGACTCGATTCCAAATTTGGTACCACTGCAGACTTGGCGACGAGGTGCAACTTGCAGGATCCCAGAACACTTGTATTGGCCACGCGACGAGGTGGAAGTCTGGAAGATGAACATGCAGAGTCTTGGACCATTGCTCACGGTGCTAAAAGAGACCTGTCAGCACGACGCCACGACCATCTGAGGCACATACTGCCACATAGCGACTACATAGATCAGCCGAGACGTCCCTGTATCGGATGGTATTGCGGACATTTGAAAATCTGCTATTTGGATCAAGGCACGAACGGTCATTCCAGAGCGATAGCCAACGCGTCGCAGACGAGTCGACGCAGCTCGCAGATTCTACGCAGATCTTCGGACTCTCACCTATAGGCAAGATGAGTACCTGATTCTGGAACGGAACCATCTCTTTTCTGTCATGGCGCCAAGATTTGAAGCTGAAAGGCATTTTCGCGACCATGACCAGGCGATCTGCCTATCAATTGTCCCCTGTGGTCATCATCGTCACAGGATACCTCCACCCACGGACCACGACAATCATGGCCAAAACTGCGCATTCAGGTTGATTTTTCTACACCCGACGTCGCGAGACGTGTTCCATCTCAGCCGGGCGTGTTTCCTATGCTGCGGACTGCTTTCCAGATGGTTTTACCACGCGACAGGACGACAGTCCAAACCGACAGAGGTGGATGTCATACTCTCGCTGCTGTTGCGACCACCTAGCTCAGGTTGGTATGCAGGCAGGCTCGCCAATAAAGGACAGATTTGATCTTGCTCATGTGCGCATTTGATGAAGTATCCCAAGGAGTCGCCACCAGCTACCAGCGAACAGACCATGCCAGTGTGACTTAGGTAGCTGGTAGCCATTCCATGCTCGATGTTAATGTTGGTGTTTTGAAGGAGCAGCAGTAATGGAGGTACTCGTGTTGTAAAGACTACATGTACCGCCAAGGCGTAGAGGAATGACGCGCTTTGTTCGGGGTCCGTGCTCTTCGGCTTGTGCTAGCCTGCATGGCTCTTTAGGCCGAGGCAAAAGGCATATCGGGACGGCTTCACAATGTTCGTAATGAAAGTGTCGGTAGTAGTTGGTGATATCTCTCCTCTACACTCACTCTCCCCCTCCTCCTCCTCCTCCTGCTCCTCCTCCTCCTCCGTCTCTCCTACCGACCATGGCGCCCGCTCCCTCTAAACAAGAGCTCCCAGCCTGGGGTCTCGCTCTCGCCGGCTCAGCAGGAGCACTCGTGGCCAATAGTTGTGTCTACCCTCTCGACCTCGTCAAGACCCGTCTGCAAACCCAGGTCAAGCGAACCGCCAACGATACCCACGTAGAAGATGAAGGACATGTGCACTACGAAGGAACACTGCACGCGATCAACCACATTATCGCGGAAGAGGGAGTTTCGGGACTCTTCAATGGGCTCGCGGGCAACTTGCTCGGAGTTGTGAGCACGAATTTTGCCTACTTCTACTGGTATAGCTTGGTGCGGGAAATGTATCACGCGCGGGTGGATAGCAAGGGCACGAGTACCGCGGTGGAGTTGGGCTTGGGTGCAGTGGCAGGAGCTTTGGCGCAGTTGTTCACAATTCCCATCGCAGTGGTGACGACGAGACAGCAGGGACAGAGAAAGGGTGAGAAGAAGGGAATTTTTGCTACGGCAAAGGAAGTCGTCGATCAAGATGGTGTGGCTGGGCTGTGGAGAGGCATCAAAGCCAGTATGGTGTTGGTTGTGAATCCGAGTATCACGTATGGTGCTTATGAGAGGTTACGGACCTTGATGTTTCCCGGAAAGGCAAATCTGGCGCCTCATGAGGCCTTTCGTACGTACAAGATGTTCTTGATTGGTGCTATGCTGACATATAATGTCTAGTCCTCGGAGCACTGTCCAAGATGCTGGCCACGATCGCGACACAGCCCCTCATCATTGCCAAGGTCGGCCTTCAATCACGACCACCTCCACAACGAATGGGCAAGCCCTTCACGTCGTTTCAAGAAGTGATGAAATTCACGGTAGAGCGCGATGGAATTCTCGGTCTGTGGAAAGGTGTCGCACCCCAACTCATGAAGGGATTCCTGGTGCAAGGCATTCTCATGATGACCAAGGAGCGTGTGGAGCTGCTGTTCGTGTTGTTGTTCCGAGCTGCCCGCAAGATGAGGCAAGAGCAGCTCGAGAAGCTCGCCAAAATTGCGGCAGAAAAGGTCGAGCAGGGCAAGGCTGCGGCTGCGGCGCTGGAGACTGCGCAACAAGCCAAAGTAGCCGCGAGCAGCTAAAGCGATGAGGCGTGCGGAGCGCGAATGGGCATGATATGGAAGACGGAGAGGATCACGGAAGATATACAAGGCAGGGAAGCAAGCTGTTCATCATTTGGGTTGGTTGCTCGGCGTTCATGGAGCATTAGAGGCACAACCAGCACATGTGCCACAGCTTAGATATGGCCAAGATGTCTTGCATGAGGGATGTTTGGGGTATATGTCATACTGTACAGCGGCAACGGATATGAGACCACCTGAACTGCAGCGCTGGTGTCACCTGGTTTTCTTTCTCTCCTTTGCTTTTCCTTTCCTCTTCTCTCCTCTTTCATCTCTCCTTTCTTCTCTTCTCCAGCTGCCACTCCTCAATCCCTGGTGATGTGTCCCGCCTGCCCAAATCAAAGACGCCCGCTGCCCTTCAACTTCTTGATGACTGAGTCTCAAGTGTGTCTGCTCTTCTCATCACTTCTTCTTCGGTATCTGAGTCTCCAAGTTCTTCACATATCCCTCCAGTCGCTGCACAGCCGATTGCAGTGCCTATAAACAAAACTCACATTAGTCTCCCCATCCCGCCCTAAGCCATTTATGAAAAACGTACGTATATATCCTCAGTCAGCATTTCATTCGAGACTTTGTACTGGTCCACGACATAGTAGTAGAGCGCGCCACCTGCTCCGACCGTACCAAGGAGGAACCCAAAGAGCCTGTGAATTGTTGTCCTTCCGTTAGCCTTCACCTCTGTTGCCTACTGTTCCCGGTCTTCCTCTCTTCTCCTGCTACGCGTGATCCTCCAAACGGAAAGACTCACGATCCCCGGAAAGCTCCAATGGGTTTTTTCGGTGCAATTACAGCATCTGCGCGTAGTATTTGGCTAGTCTGGAAGCTTCGGCGTGCGGTGATTGCTTGGGTGAGCGAGGACGTCGTTGCGGGGCGAGAGAGGGCGCGCATGGTGAATGGCATTCTGGAGGCCATGATCGGTGATGGGTGTTTGCTCGCCTGGATTGTATGAGGTGTACGTAGACGTGGGTTGGAAGTCGAGGCAGCAGAGGTGTTGATGGATGATGGGTAGGAGGTAGGAAGCCGAGGGAGCTCTCTTGGCAGACGAATGAGCTTCTTCGCAACTCCAACGGTTGACGCGACATCTCGTGTCCTCTCATACCACCATCCTCACATCTCTGATCCTCATCCCCACTTTGGGCCAGACTTCAGTTTCCGCAAGCAAATTATCATGCTCGCGCCAAACTACCGCCAACAAGTTCTCACGCTCAACTTTCTGCCCTACCTATACAGCAAATCCTCCCAGCTGGGGTCGTCAGTCATATCTCCAGCGTGGTAGCTGCACGAACCAGAATGGAAGAGCATGAAGAATAGTAGTTCAGTTGGCGGGTCTACATTCCGCGGGGATAGCGGCAGAAGAGCTGAGCGTGTCAACGGTATTGCTAGACTCCCTCCCTGCGTTCTTAAACGCGGGACAATAGAATGTACATTCTTGCTCCCAGAGACTCGTACATATACCTCAGACATCCACAAAGTGACCACAGACTCGGTTTCAAAGGCCGAGCATATATGATGGTAGAAAGAATGACTTCAGGTAGGGACGGCCATCTCTCCATACCCGGCCATTCACCATGGCGACTAATCTACAGCGCATCATCGCAATATGGTGCTTGTTCACCCTCTCTACTCTCGCTTTCCCATGGAATATGCCTGGCCTGGGCCTCCGGCAGCGAGACGATGCGTTCTACAACCCTTGGGGGAACTATGCGACTGTGACAGTAACAACGACCAGAATCATTCCAAGGTGAGATCGATACCTGTAGACTCCAACCTATGATTCTCATTGCTGATGCTATGCGCAGAACGACCATCACCAAGTCTTCCACCCTCATTCGCACTAGCACCTTGATCAGAACATCCACTGTTCTCGCCCGGACTACATTAACGAGCACTTACGTGAGCACATTGGTGCTCCCTGCCTCGACCATCACCAGATCAAGCATGATCACAGTCACTGAAGCAGTCACCACAACAGCTGCCACGACCATCACCAAATCAAGCATAATCACAGTCACCGAAGCAGATACAACAGCGGCGACGACATCTTCGGCGACAGCAGCATCAAGTGCTGTACCTTTGTACGGCCAATGTGGTGGAGCCAACTATGTCGGCCCTACAGCGTGCGCCGCAGGAGCAGTCTGCCAGTTCCAAAACCCATACTATTCTCAGTGTGTGGCCAGAGCTACCAACGGATCGACACCCGTAAGTGCATGTTAAAGCATCCTGCAATCCCGTAGCTAAAACCTGGCCGTAGAACATAGTACCCATCTACGGACAATGCGGCGGAGCTGAGTATATTGGCTCCGGACAGTGTACCGCAGGATCATTCTGCCGCTTCCAAGACGCCAATTTCTCACAGTGTGTGCCCAACGCACTCAAGCCTACCACAGCACCAGCATCAACGTCCAGCCTTGTGCCTTTGTATCTCAATAGCACGAGATCGTCGACCACGGCTACTACGACTTCTCCAGTGGCGGTTGCGGCCAGCGTGGTGCCTTTGTATGGCCAATGTGGCGGTATTGGCTATACACCTACTCCCTTCTGCCCCCCAAGACAATACTGCATGAACCCGGTTTGCGCCGCAGGATCATACTGCCAATACCAGAACGACTACTACTACCAGTGTGTGGTTGCCCCTGCTTATGTAAGTGCCCATGGAAGCCTCCTCTCCAGCAGTGTCCTCGAGCTAACTGCTACCCTTAGGACGTATTGCCTGTATACTCCCGCTGTGGAGGATTCGGATACAACGGCCTCACGACGTGTGAAGAGGGATCGTCCTGCACGTACACAAATGAGTACTATTCTCAGTGTGTGCCCTCTGTCGCGAAGAGGGATCTCATTCCCATTGATCCCTCTGTGGTCATTCCAGCCATTTTCTGTCCAGGTCCAGCGACCATTACCGTCACGGCTCCGGCAGTGCCATCCCTCGCGATTCCGTCCCTTTCGATACCATCTCTCGGGCTACCGTCTACCTCACTACCACCGTTTGCGATACCATCTCTCGCGAACATTTCCATCTCGCTGCCATCTCTCGCTGCGCCATCTCTCGCGCTACCAACTATAGCGCTGCCAACCACCTCGCTACCCACCCTCGCCCTACCCACCCTCGCCCTACCCACACTCGCCCTACCCACACTCGCCCTTCCAACACTCGCCCTCTCATCACTCGCCCCGCCATCACTAGCCCCGCCATCACTCGCACTACCAACTACCGCGATACCGTCTCTCGCGCTGCCTTCACTTGCGCTCCCTTCTCTCGTTCTCCCCTCTCCATCTCTGTCCTCTCTGGCTTTGCCCTCTCTAGCTCTACCCTCTCGGGCTCTATCTTCTCAGTCTCTACCATCTCTGGCTCTACCCTCTCTCGCGGTGCCATCTCTGGAGCTACCGACTATTGCACTGCCCACCGTTGCGGTCCCCTCCTTGGCCCTTCCCACCATCTCGTTGCCATCTCTCCCGACACTCTCGGTCCCCTCACTTCCGATCGCAACAGTGGTATCGCAGACTTTCACAGAGCAGCTATCTCTACCTCTCCCTACCGTCGACGTAGTCGCGGTCCCCATTCCCGACTTGCTATCTTTAGCTGGATCCATCGCGACGAAGATCGTGGTCCCAATCCCAGCATCGATCATTGCTGACGTCTCTGGCGGCGCAAGCGCGGTTGCAAGTCTCGGCGCTGAGCTTGGCTCTGGTGAAGTTGATGTTGGAGTTGGCGCTGGAGTTGGTGCTGGGGTAGCCGCTGGTGCCCAGTAAACAGGACAGTACTTCTGCTCGCGTGGATTCGAGTCGAGCGCAAATATTGGAGCACATTCATGGATAGCTTTGATAGTTGACCGGATTCAGGCAGGATAAATTGCAATCAATGCTGGCCTGTGCCTTGATTCTGTTACTTTGATTCACACTGACGGTTGGTATGAGTATCGACTGTGACGTTACTGATGAGCCGCCATCTCCCTCTCTCGCTCTCCCTTTCTTCCTCCATCCCATCTCCCTAAGAAACAGTAATACTACTACTTCCACTACTCTCATAGCCCTCCGTGGCAACAATCTGATAATTATACGTCCCCATCTTCAATCCCAAGTCAGCCCAAGCATTGAAATGATTCGCCGTCGTGACTTTGCCTCCCACACGTTTACTCGTGCGAATCGACCAATACTGCTGAAAGGTCGCGGTACCAATGATGGAGGGCTCGTTGGTACGGGTTCCTGTGTAAATGTCGTAGGTGCCGCCGTCAGAGGTCACTTTGCCTCGATAGGTGAGTTGGGCTTTGGGGTTGTATGTGCCGTAGGATTCGAGGATGTAGTACTATTGGCAGTTAGAAGAGGGAGAGAGACGGGGAGGGGTTGGTTGATTGGATAGGGAGAGTTGAAAAGACGGTGAGAGGGAGGATAGAGACAGACGTACCTCGACGAGTGGATCAGTCGTCCAACCATAGACTGCCAGGTAAGAGTTCCCATTGGGGTTGAAAGAACCGGAATATGTAATGACTCTGCACACACACACGAATCTAGCATGAGCACAGCTTCGACGGATCAAAGAGGGATACATTTACCTCGGACTTCCAGGATTCCAGCCTTTACCAGCGACGAAATTCTTGCAGTTTGTCCATTGCGTGGTGTATGAACCTGCCGCTCCGTTGTTGTATGTCACTTCGCTGCCTCCGCTGTTGTAATAGGAGTAGAAGAAGCCATTGCTGGTTCCTTGGCCGGTGGGTGTTGCTCTGGTCTCAAGGGCGACCACTTCTGCCGAGTCGAGAATGTCTGGATGGGAGGACGGAGCAGCAAATGATGTTGTGATTGCTGTAACCGCCACGAGGATGGAGCGAAGGGAGAGCATAGTTTCGACGATATTCGTTCCTTGTTCGTGTTGTGCGATGGTGGGAAGAGTGGTTGTTATCTGTATACTGGGGAGTAATAGATGCCGATTTTTCCGTGCGGAAGAATTATAGGACGGTCGGCACTGCATGGATGAGGCAGTGTCTCAGGAAGAGTAGTCTGCACATTGTCCATAGCAAAGACTGACGTTTGATGTGTAAGCGAGTCAGCGGCCAACAATGAGTATTGAAGTGTACGCAACTACGGGTGGGTAAAGCATTCAGTCCGAGACATATGCTCCGCAAATTTACTGCATTCGGAAGGTCGACCTTGTTTCGGTTAAATCGCGTGGACATATGTGGACTCTGCGGAGGGCTCGGCAAGCGTCAGGTGGATCTCCTTAGTGTGTCATTCACATAGAAACTAGCCGGAACGCTGGGAATTGTTCCGAGGCAAGTCGACGTCTATACAGAATGCCTTCACTTGGGTCGGAACAAAGTCCGATAGAGGAACAGTGTCACGACTTCAAACATTCGCTACTGTTACGGTTTCAGGCAGATTGTTACGAAGCGAGACGAGTCAGCGGTATGACCAGCTGTCGCACGATATATAAATCAATAGTCAACCGAGCACAACGGCTTTCATATCTCGCGAACAGGTCCCACGGCGCTTAATTTTCGACAGATAGGAAGCATCGCCTATTCTTATAATGCATGTCACGTCGGCACTCACCGTAGCGGCTGGCTTGGCCATCGCCAGCTCGTCTGCAATCGAAGACAGAGCGTCATGCCCGGACATTCATATCTTTGGCGCACGTGAGTCGACCGTCTCAGCGGGATATGGCTCCGCGAAAACGTTCATCGACCTCATCAATGGTGCTTATCCGGGCTCGACTTCAGAAGCAATCGTCTATCCGGCAGCGGGAGGCACAAATGCAGCGTATGCGAGCTCCGTCCAGAACGGAACGCAGAGTATCGCCAACCAGATCAACTCCTTCAATGAGAAGTGTCCATCTGCAAGGCTAGTTGTTATTGGGTATTCGCAGGTACTTTCTTTTTTCTTTCCTATTGTCGGGCTCCAGGAGTTCCACTTGCTGACGGACATTTATCCAGGGCGCCCATATCGGAGACAATGCTCTCTGCGGCGGGGGCGATCCAGGCCAGGGTATTACATACACCGACAGCTTGATCACATCTGCAGCTGCCACCGCCATCCAGGCTGTGATCTGGGCGGGTAATCCAAGGAACTCGCCAGAGGAGACATTCCACCACGGCACTTGCACTGCTGGCGGAGTGAGTTCATTTCGAGACCTTCTCCTTCGATCCAGATTGCTGACCGACTGCACCAGTTCGACCCACGCCCATCAGGATTCTCCTGTCCAGCTTACCAAGCCAAAATCCGATCGTACTGCGATGCTCCAGATCCGTACTGCTGTGACGGTACCGATGCAAACACGCACCAAGGCTATGGCAACGAGTATGGTCAAGACGCCCTGGCATTTGTGAAGTCGAAGTTGGGATAGATGTACTGCCTGATATGTGACTTCCTGAAGACTCGAGAGCCGGCACATACGTCGCTCCTCGTCGTTCCGTCTTTCCGCAGGTACCGTGGAGAATCTACCATGGCAGCGATGAGTCTGCGCTGACGAGTATCTGAGTTCCTGCGTCGTACTTGTCACCAGAGCTGCCGTGGCCCGACATGGCGTAACTTCATCCGAGGAGCTGGACCTCCCTCGCGAAATTCGGAGACCTGAGCGCGGGGTGGGTATAGTTCTGTCAATTAGCCAATCCACTTCTGTCATTCATTTCCACCCGCTCGCGAATCTCAGGAGTGTGTATTATCGTGTTGGCGTTGCACTCGTTCACGTACGTGGATTGCACCAGGAGCATTCGAGGTGTGTACCCAGAGTTCAAAAGCAGTCATCGACGTCGAGAGGAGGCGCTAACAAGCCTCGCGAAGCGCTCATGGCCAGCTGATATTGCAGGATATCCGTTACGACTCGAGCGATGATGATGAAGGGTCGTCTGCGTGCTGGGATCTGCAGTGAGGATCAGATAGACTTTCCCAAAGTTCACCTCACTTGCTTCGGCAGCCTCGGATTCGTTCCGCAGTTGAGGTTAAAATCCTTCCTTTTCTTCCACCATCTTAGCTTGCCATTCACCACAATGCATCAACTTGTCGGGTGACAGCATCTTCACCGCGTACAGACAGCAAAATGCTCCAACCAGGAGAGCAGTCATCGTCGTCGCCGCCGCCAGCGTCGCTACCGTTGCCACCGTCGCCGCTGAGTCACAAGATGCTGCCGCCGCCGTCGCCATCGTCGCCACCTCATCCCAACATACTGCCACCGCCGTCACTGTCACTACCGTTGCGACCTCATCACAACATGCTGCCACCGTCGTCACCACCGTTGCCACCGTCGCCGCCCCATCACGAGATGGTGCCACCGCCATCACAACCTGAAGCCCCGTTCCAGAAGCAGCAGAAGCCACTATTCCTAAACATCGCGGCCGAGCTTCGCAATAGAGTATATGCACTAGCGCTCAAACTTGATGGAGAAATAGGCTTCAGCTGTTGCAGGGACTGGGATTCTGGCAAGCTAAGTATCAAACGCGATGACATTGTTCCTTGGCCACACCCTTGGCCACAGTCACACAGGTCAGCTCGCAAGGACGACCCCACCAACCAAATCGACTTACGCAAACTCGCCGTCGGCCTTCTGGCGGTCTGCCGCCAAATCAACTTCGAGGCCGCTCCAGTTCTCTATGGCGCCAACAAGTTCGCATTTTATGGTGCGAGCATCGCTTCTCACACCATCGGAAGTTTTGGTGGAAACTTCGTCCATTTGAGAAAGCTCAAGCTCGGGAACGTGAAAAACACGATCTCGGGGCAATTTTGGCGACACTCCCCAGAAGATCCTTGGTATCGCACACAATTGAACGTGTTTGTGGATTTGATGTCGACACTGGATCGAAAGGAGAAAGGAGAGGTCTTGGAGCTGACCCTGGGTTTCAATTCTCACCCACGTGGCTCTGAGCTCGACAGCAGCCCCTACTATGGGGAGGATGATCCATGTCCGAAGATGGAAGTGAGGTTTTTGAAGGCTGTTCTGCCATTCATGGGTCAGAGCCACTATTTTGGTGAAGGCAAAGATAGCAAAGGAAGATTGCAGATTGAGCTCTTCGGAGAGGGGGGTCTAAAAGGCTCCTTCCAACAGAAGAGCCGGATGAAGCGGTGGGCCAGTGCATCTGGCATCATCCTTCGAAAGATCCGAGGCTACATGGAAGAAGACCCCTCGCTTGCGACTGTTCCGCTCAAAAGCCGTTATATTGGGGATTGTTTCCCCTACGATTGGAAGGAGTGACTCGAAAGACCAAGGAAGCTCAACGTTCTTCTCCAAAACGGCTACTCACCCTTTCACAACTTCGCTCTCATATAACCCGGTTTACACGCATCCGTTGCTTGCGCCACTTCATCCACTCGGCCAACATCAACAACAATCCCATCACCATCCACCGCGTCAAGTTCACACTCTTGGCAGTCTTCGTCTCCCACACCATTTGCATATTGCACGACAACGAACTCGACGGACTTTTCACCGAGTACTACCATGGGAGCATGCCAAGTACCTGGTCCATATGTCAAAGCTTGGTCACCTCTCGCAATAAAAGCACGAATGTTCTTCAGATCGGGAAGACCAGAGCCCTTCGGTCGTTGAGAGGACGGAAGGGTGGTGGAAGAAGTCGGCTTGGTAGCGGGAACATAATCATTCGTAAATGGATTCGGTCTCGCACCAAGGAGTCTCTCCTTCAGACTTCTCTTTCTCGCACGTGGTACATCCACAGGATATGGCTTATCCGCCCTTTCTTCCTTTGCCCGTAGAGTAGCAGGCAATGTAGGAGCTACAATGACCAAATACCTCGTATTGCCTCCATCCTCTTTCCCTACCCCCAACGGAACAAATGTCTGAGGCGTGTACGGGTGTCGTTCCATGATTCCCACCTGGAACACCTCCCTCCCATTGTCGTCCTTGGTCAGCACACGGGGCTTACAAACAAACAGATTCACCACCGCCTTCGCCGGCTTTTTACTCCAGGCCTTCTCATAGTGATTGTTCAAATGCGTGACATCTACCCATTTTGTTGCTGTTCCCTGATTGGCGAGTTGGTGTTGGAGACGCCATTGGCCGTTCCCGTCGACTTCATCGTGCGTTGCCGGGTTTTGGATGACTTCTCCGAAAGGCTCGAAGGCGGATGGGGACAAGGGGGTGGTGGAAATGGTGAGGTTGAAGGAGGGAGAGCGCATGATGGCAAAGGGGGAGAAGGTAGTCGAGTACGGTGGGTTGGGAAGGCTCGGTGAAAGTGGAAGTGAAAGTGTGTCAGAAGATGGTGATAGGTAGTGATGGAGACATGGTATACATATGGTGGGGGGTGAGATTGACCGAGAACAGCGAGAGTGGGGCGGAGATCAAGGATTACGTTACCGAGAGGTCCGAGCCTAGCTTACGGGTAAGATTTAAGCTTATCCATTCGGCGCCGATCACGAAGACGCGTGCTTCTTCTTCTTCTTCTTCGACGCGTCTTTCCTTCACTCTCCCCTCCAGACCAAGATGCACAATGAGCATCGCCGAACATGAGCTCCACTCCACCGCGCTCCTCTTCAAAGCCCCTCTTCAGCGACTCTCTCACGGACAGCGCCAGCAGCCCGCCGAGCAGTCCGCCCAATAGCATCGTCGAGCGGCGGAGAGACGACAAGCTCACCACCGACACGTCGAACCCACCCGCAGGACCTTTCAAAAACGTCTTCTCCATTCTAGGGAAGCGTAAACCCTTGATCACCGCTTCTGAAAATGCCCGACCGGTCAAGACTCCCAAGTCGTCTGCCACCAATGGACTCCAGCAGATGCAGATGAGTCTCGGCCAGAAAGTCAACAGGCGATGCGACACGTGCGGAATGGAGTATGTTCCTTCTTCTGCCGAAGATCGCAAGTTGCATGACAAGTATCACAAGCAGAACCTGGACGGCTTCGACCTGGGAAAGGACTTTGTGGCCAAGAAGAGAAGAGATGGGAGGAAGCTATCCGTCTTCAAGGGTGTGAAGGAGGGAGATGCGATCGTGTATCTGGACTGCTATGATAACCATCATCGAAAAAAGAAGGGTCAGGCTGTTTTGGAGGTGGTCCAAAGGGAGCTGGGCGCCGTGGCGATACCAGAGGCCGAGATCTGGGACTTGAAGAACGAAGAGATCAACATTCCGGAATCAAAGTACAAGAGTTTTCTGTATATCAGAGGGAATAAGTGCGTGGGCTACCTCCTGACGCAGAGAATTGCGGCCGCGCTAGAGGTGGTGAAGCCTCCAGATACGAACCGCGAGGAGATTCTGTGCACGACGGCAAGCAAACCTGAAAGCAGCATGAAGAAACGTACTGCTCTGGAGAAGCTCAAGGCTCGAAAGCAACAAGAAGCAGACGCGGCCAAGGCTCTCGAAGACGAATTGGCAGAAGCTTCGCAACACCCTCTTCACCTTTCCGATACGAGACACTCTGCCGTCATGGGCATCTCTCGCATCTGGACCTCCTCCTCGCATCGTAGCCACGGCATTGCGCAATGTCTTCTCAACACCGCCATCAACAGACACAACTCTATTCGTGATTTGGACGATCACCATGAAGAGGCGTATACTGTCGAGCACGGAAAGCCCCTGCCTGACGATATGCGCCGAAGGATCGAGCGAAAGCAGGACGTGGCGTTCTCACAGCCTACAGAAGCCGGAGCGAAATTGGCACGGAAGTGGTTCGGAAGGGCATATGGCTGGAGAGTGTACGTTGATTGAGCGGCGGACATTAATCTCATCTCATTATACAGTTCAACCGCATCTTGTCGGCATGATCTCACGTTAGAGGGCCTTGTTCGCGAGACTGTGTCTCATGTCCCACTCGAGTCAAGCCACTCCAACTGCTCTAGCAGCTTCGCCTGCCTTCGGCTTTTCCGATCTCGGCTGCGAGGACAACAAGCCTTTGTCTGGTAAGACAAAGCACTGATTGTTTGCTAGAGACCAATCCTCCGCCCACAAAGGGCATTGTGTTTAACAACAATGGCATCTTCACATCATCAGACAAGCAGGCTCAAGCACTGCACTGCAGCTACAGTGACAACAGTGAATACCTAGCTGCAGGCGAACAGATAGCTCAGTCTAATCTACACCATAACACGCGATGTCTCTGTCTTCACCAGTAAAGGCATTGCGCGACTTGACAATGCTTCGTTGTTATACTGAATCTGCTATTCACTCTGATGTAACCACGCAACGACACTGCTGATAGATCTGCATAAAGCTCATTGTTCAGGCCCCTACAACATCGCAATGCACAATGCACAATACACAATGCACAAAGCACAGTACACAATGCACAATGCCCTTTGTATATGCTTTCCTCTGCAACACAATACCCGAGCAGGTATAAATCGTCCCTCAACTGCTTGGAAACCATCACTCAGGCTTCACACTCAGAAGACACTCAAGCATTTGCATCCAGCAAACAATCAACTTGAGATTCATCTGACTTTTCGACAAGTCTGTGCAGCTTACCTACTACTTCCCCATCATCACCACACCCACCCACGCCTACAGCCCAAACCAAAATCTCCCCACCACAAACCAAGCATCATGTCTGACATTTGCTCGATGTGTAAGCAGAATATATCCGATTGCAGCTGCCTGGTCAAGAACAAGAACATGACCAGACTGGCCGACTCGGACACTTGCCCAACATGTAAGCAAAACATATCCGACTGCAGCTGTCTGGTCAAGAACAAGAACACGCGCAAGGCAAACTCCAATGCCAACGCCAACGCCAATGCCAATGCCAATGCTTTCCTCGATAATGCCGCAATCCACCAGAACTCGTGTGCCTTTATCGCTAATCATGCGGCGACTGGCGTCACAAGTAGGTTGGTAGGTTGGTAGGTATGAGAGGAGAGGTAGGGTTAGGGGATTAGGGTTAGGGTTGGGTGAACGGTTTTATTAGGACACATAGGGAGTTTAGGAGTTTAGGAGTTTGCTTTGGTCATATTGGTGTATTAGTAGAGCACGGGACGGGGTGGAATCACGGGAGTCAGAGGATGATCTTGTCCAAAGACTAGAATATACTGTACAGGCAAAATCAAAAAAAAATTAAAAACAAAAAAAAAAGTTGAAAGTAAAACATAGTAGAATTGGTCTTCTCACTCCTCTGTATTATCACTTCCTAGATCGAGACCCATGATAGATGGAGAACGAAAAATAAATGGAAATAAAAATTCAGTACTCAGCTCATATAATCTGTAAACTTTTCGAATCGTGACTAAGATTGCTTGCCTCGTTGGTGCTCCATTGCACTTCTGTGTGGTTGTTACCTATATATGAAGTATATATAGCAGAGTCAGCGCTAGTGGGTCTTGGCATTTTGCATAGCGGAGCACGAAACGACGCGACATCTTACCTAAGTCCTGCGGTATATGTACACGCCACCGTCTTGCCATATCTGCTGTCGTCTGATCTCGCCTTTCCAAGAGATACAGCTTCAACATGAGTATGTCCACGGAATTGGCCTTTGTTCGTGCGGCGCTCCGAGACAGAAGCATGAATGTCAATGTGCAGCCGTCGTTGTCGTCGCTGTCGTCAGCCAAGACGACGTCATGGTCAGACCCCAGTGCCGGTGTAGGTACAACAGCGAGAGAAGAAGAAGAAGAAGCAGCAGCAGAAGAAGAAAGTTACAGTGTGATTACGCCCCGGCAGACGGCGGTGAAGAAGACGGCGGCGAGGAAGACGGCGGCGGAGAAGACTGCGGTGGCGGTGGACGACGATGCGCCGCGCATCGATACTACAGAGAAGCTGCCGCTGAAGTCGAAAAAGACCGACCGAGCCAAGAAGAAGCACGAAAAGAGGCTCAAGAGGACGACGGTGAAGTCCGACACCAAGTCATTCCTGGAATTGCCCACCGAGCTTCTGGACGAAGTGCTGAGTTATCTGGCGCCGAGCGATGTCATCCGGCTGCAGCGTCTGACCAAGGGCACGAGGAAATACATCCGGGACAACGAGAAATTCATCGCTCAGAGCATCATGGACCGCCGATATCATGTGCTCGCCCGCGCGTTTCAATGTCCCGTGCCTTTCGAGCGGCTTGACGCGCGAGCGCAGTGTTCTCTCCTGAGCTCAGAATGGCAGGACCGATCGAAACTGCATCGGAACTCGTACTACCAAATCGTCAAGCCGCTGGATCCGAGAAAGGTCTGCACGTGCACGACGTGTATGCTGGCGTGGAACAATCTCAACATTGTGCTCGATCTCGCATACTACCAGCACCACCTCAATGCTCGCATCGCGATCCCGATGGTCCCTCGAGGCGAGAACCCGGCATGGCACGCCGACCGGCAACGAGAGAATGCCGCCATTGTCGAAAGGGCCATGTACAGTCCCCTCTATCACGCAGTCATCCTGCAAACGCATCTAGCCACCACTGTCGGAACACTGAACAGGCGATACAGAGAAGTCCGTGTCAACAAGAAGACCAAGACTTCGCACCCCAAAGTGCTATACCACATGTCCGAAGAAGACATCTCTTCTGGTACAGACATGTTTCTCGAACGCAGTGGACCTCCATCGACTGTGATTCCGTATCATCGGGACATGTACTACAACCTCGAGGCATACGTGCCGAATAGGGCGTGGAGCAAAGAGAAGCAGAAGTGGCTCTATGCCAGAGCCCCACATGAGAACGATTTGCAGTGGATTGTCAGCAAATTTGAGCCGGATCGACGTGGAAGTGTGTGATCAGGGAATCATTGTGCACTTTGTTAGACGCCGAACATGTGGCACCTGGCGTTAGGTTTGCCCGGTTCCACCTTGTCTTGCCTCGTTACAGGAGCATATGTTCATCTTTCCGCCGGTGCCCTGTCATCGACAAAGTAATAGTTGTCCACGGGCTATTGATCCGCTACACCTTGGTCGTGGATACGATAACGTGAGGCTTTACCACGCACTTTCAAGATCTGGCGCTGCTATGGGCTTCAAGCATTCCCGTCTGGCATGCCTGACTGGAAGCTCTGTATCAGATGCCGATCCCCACGTGCTACGTCTCGTTGTCCTTCCAGACTAAATGGAGCGGTCCCAGGAAACTATTCTGGCTCTGTTGTGCGCGAGCTCGATCCGCCCGGCATTGATCTGTCAATAGCACTCCAGAGCACGGACGTGATGGCAACACGTTTGCGGCTTGTCGTGCTGTCCACTTCATGCCCCGAGGAATGCTCATCGTAGGCGTGAACGCAGGTTCAGCCGAGCATGATGTGGAGCACTGGCAAAGGGCATGCAGCATGCGCACAATGGAGCCATGTGAAACAATCCAAGACATATAGGTGATTCGTCAGGCACTGCTAGTCCTCCTGGCGTGAGGACAGATGGTGACGTGAGTCTTCGCTCCGAGGTTCCGACAAAGTCTGACTGTCCCCATCCCAGACGCTGGACTCTCTTTTTGATAGCGCGCGCGAGACGCGGTCAAAACGAGTCCACGTCTGCTTTGATTCGCACCTATTCAACTATCCGTGCCCCTCGTGTAGCTTCGTGGGCCGGACCAGGGCCGCCTCTTACATGTACATGGCGTCAAGAATCTCACTGTCAGAATCTCGTACCTGCATTTCAACGCATGTAATAATCATCACAATGCGTAGGTGGTGCTTTCGGCCTCGCACATCCTTACACCAGTCATGCCAGTCATGCAACTACCTCTCCCGATTACCAACAAAATTATGACAATTTGGAAGCGCTTGCTAAGGGACTGAAGTGGATCCGATAAGTGCAAGGGGAGCCTAAGATGAGGCTCACAGCCTACTGGACACCACAACATCTTTATTTGATATCTGACAGGAGAAGTGTACAACATGGTCAATATTGACTACGGACCACTGTACATCAATGTGGCCGCCTTTCAACACGTGGTTTCGCAGTCACTGGGGCCCCTAGCGGGGGACGCCAAGAAGCAGAAGGCCGAAGCGGAGGCATCGCCTGCGCCAAGGATATCCTAGAAGTAACTTCAACGTACCTGATCGTCCAAAGTCTAACTTCCTCCCCGCTATGGCTTGCAACTTCACCTCTTGGGCGACTCCAAACACCGCGGAAGATGCAGCCGCGAACGAGAAGAATCAATACGCTCACGGAGTACCTCACGACTGTTTCATCCCCAGGAGGACAGTATCCGTATTGGGACCGACTGACTCCGTCGATATCTCAAAAGAGAGCTGATGTAAAAGCATAAAGCTCGAACCTAGTCCCCACGAAAGGTAGGATCCTTGGCCAACATCGATGAGCCTGCGCGCTTGAGATTTGACAGACCAGGACAGCACAGGAATACGAAAAACCAATACTTTCACATCATGAATCGCACAGTATGCAGCGACGTGCGCCATTGAATTCACCTGTCTGTGAGGCTCGTCAAGATGGAAAGCCGTCACAATGCCATTGCAGCACATCACGATCGACGACATGGACGTGTAGGGTCTACTGATCGTTAGCCCGAGACTAACAGTCGTGCACTACGCGCCGCGCGCCAGCAGCCGTGAAGAGAGGCGTTACGCCGTTACCCATGCTATATCAAGGTGTTATTCTGGACCCCTGGGCCTTGCCTGTCCAGCATAGGGGAACACTGCCCGCAAATCACCCATGACCATATGCCAAGATGGCTTGCCGCTCAATGTTCTTTTTCCCATCATTATGGGCGGACTCGGGCACCTCTAGGCGCTAGAATCTACCACCCGGTGCCTGGCCATGACTCGTGGCCACCTGCACGGCTGCACTTGCTACAGATTCGCCTTGAAGTTCAGGAGAGTAATCTCATTTCTGCAATGGCCCTCAGGCATGATGAGGTAACGCTGAAGCGGGCCACTAGTATTCCATGTCCTCACATTGCAGTATATAGGTATAGCTCTCTGAGTACTTCCTCCCTCTTCACGCACATCCGCCGCCACTGCGTGCTACAGTCACTACTTACATTCTTTTAGTTTGCTCTACATATCCCTCTTGAGCCGCCACCATGTCGGCCAAGACAGTCACTCGTTCTTTGCTATGTCTATCCGCTGTAGCTTCAGCGCTCCCAGTGTTCAATCCCGCTGCGCAGGCTGGGGCGGACGCCATTAATGGTTTTCCCCCTACTTCGTTCAATCAATTCACCCCTTCTTCCTTTTCACCGGCCACCTCTTTGAAGGAGAGCGGGAGCCCGTTTGTTGTTGATAAGAGCGAGGCCAACTCGCTTCTTAGTCTGCTTCCTGGACAAAACTCTCCATTCAACGGCGAAGGCAGCATAGTGAACAGCGAGTCAACCCAATCTGAAGAGTCAGGATTCTTTGGTGGACTGATGTAAGTCTGTCCCTGTATTCACGTGCACAGCAGAAGGATTGAATTTGACTGGATATGCGCACAGCACCAAACGCGAGGAACAAGAAACCGACGAAGGTGCACTCGACTTGAACCTCCTCGATGATGACGATGATGACGAGGAATTCCTGTTGGATGACGAGCAGGACAACGGATACGGCTCAATTATTCCAGGTACGTGCTTTGACGGGCCAGCGATTCTAGCCTAGTTGGGTGAATATGTACTAATGGTTCGCAGGCGCACCGGGCACACCAGTCAACCCAGCTGCTCAGGCTGCCGCGGACGCCATATCGGGCAACGCTGCTGGCATGACTGGGACGTTGGTAAACCCAGCTGCTCAGGCTGCAGCAGACGCTATCTCGGGCGACTATGTTGACACTCCCTTGACATATGGCCCTGATGGTGTGCCAGTCTCACCACCTATGGCACCAACCTACCCCCAAGGATATGGAAGTGGTGTCCCTCCTGCTGACCCTGTGATGCCACCGACGAAGCCAGCAGGCTACGGCAGCGGTATGCCTCCTGTTGACCCTGTGATGCCACCAACGAAGCCACAAGGCTACGGCGGTAGCGTGCCCCCTCCCGGACCGCCTCCACAGCCATCGATGCCACCGAAGTCGCCAGTCTCCCCGCCTCCTATGACACCGCCAACCTACGGCATGCCACCGGCTGACCCTGTGATGCCACCAACGAAGCCGCAAGGATACGGCGGTGTGCCTCCTCCTGGCCCTCCTCAGCCATCGATGCCACCAAAGTCGCCTGTGTCACCGCCTCCTATGACACCGCCAACCTACGGTATGCCACCGGCTGACCCTGTGATGCCACCCACTAAGCCTCCTGGATACGGTGGCAGCGTGCCTCCTCCCGGACCGCCTCCTCAGCCATCGATGCCACCGAAGTCGCCAGTCTCCCCGCCTCCTACGACACCACCAACCTACGGCATGCCTCCTGCTGACCCTGTGATGCCACCCACCAAGCCAACTGGATACGGCAGCGGCATGCCACCGGCTGATCCTGTAATGCCACCCACTAAGCCTCCTGGATACGGTGGCAGCGTGCCTCC